GAAAGAAAGAAAGAAAGAAAGAAAGAAAGAAAGAAAGAAAGAAAGAAAGAAAGAAAGAAAGAAAGAAAGAGGAAAACACACACCTCTGACATGGCCACCAGCAGTACCTCTGCTGTGTGACAACAATGTCTCTACATACAGAGGCAATCTCCACACTTCCACACCTCCCTTGGGAAAAACTGCTTTAAGCCCAGTGCTGGAGCACTTGTCTACCGTCTGTAAGACCCTGGGTTCTGTCTATCAATTCCAATACTGCCCCCTTAAAAAAACTACTCCTTGAAGTTCCAAGCAAGTAAAACAGCTACATCCATCACTAGCCTCTTCAGGGTGCTCATCAAATGCCACAGTTTAAGCCCTTCCTAGTGAATTATTGCTTTTAGCCTTCTAGCACCCAAAGGGCAGAAGAGCTTACATTTTGTTGACAATAAAAATTGGAGCACAGGGAAGCTAGCAACTTACTCAAGCTATGCCTAGGTCTCATCCTGTCTAACTCCAGCTCCCAGAGGAGTTCTGTAGCAATTCCAAGGATGAATACCTAGATGGATACATGAACTAATGAAGTGATGAATGAGACCATCTTCTCCATAACAACTATCATTTTCTGACTCACAGGGACAGTGAACTGTCAGTCTCTCAGGAGTCCCACAGTGCCAAAGTGATTCAGTTTATCAGAAAAATCCATCCCCAACTTTGGTCCTTCCAAGCTATCTGGGCATCTTGTCAGATTCTGTTGTTCTAAATAATCTATGTTTATTCTCAATAATGTAAACTATGCCTTCTAGCTTTGCTTTATGACAGTTTCATGCAATCTGCACATGAAATCTAAATTTCTACCCACTGGTCACTCCTTCCCAACTACTGTGAGATGCAATAACATTTTTCCAATAGGTCACAACTCACAGAAAGCCCTTCCAAATGTGAAGGAAAACCACTTTTAAATATTATACTTCTTAGAAGCTCTATATCCAGTGCTGCACAGAGACAAAGTGTTCAGTTGTTGCACTGATCCATAATCGTGAGTGCTTGCATACACATGAGGTATCAAGGCTTGAAGGGCAAACACAATGACCTGATTCTTTATTGGCAACATATGTAGCAGTTAAAACTACTTAATGTGTATTATGATAAAGACTGTAAATAGACATGAGAACAAACCCCTATGTCATAGCAGACAGACTGGAAAATATCCCAGGTCTAAGACTGATACTCAATGAGTATGGAGAGAAGAAACCGGAAATTCTTTCTGTTAGACACAAGGCACTCCAGTACTTTTCTACTTCGTAATGCAGGCAAGTATTACAGACAGAAAATAAAGTTCATTGAGACTTTTGGGTTCAATGAATGAGGCAGGTTACTAGCCCTTATTTGAATCCCAGATGGCTCTGACACTTTAGTGCTTAGGAAATTATTCAATCTCTTTTAGAATTTGTTTCCTCACTTAACAAGAGAAGCTAATAATGCCAACATTGAACACTATGTTAGTTTCATCACCATGAAAAGTATCTGAAGAAGTCAACTTAAAAGCAAAAAGAGGTAATTTTGTTCACAGTTTGGGAGGTGTCATCCATAGTTGCTTGGCTCCATTATTAGGGGTATGTTGAGGCAGAATAACATGAAAAGAAGCTTGTAGTGAAGCAAAAGTTGCTCATCTTATGGTTGCTAGGAAACTGGGAGACAGGGCAACAAGAGCATGCCAAGACAAGATCTGCCCCATGACAATCAAGCCCCATCCAGCCTACTCCCTCCATCCTAGTTTTCATCACCTCCCAATAATGCTATCAGGGTATAAATCCATCAATGGATCCATCCACTGATGAGATTCAATCCACATGATACAGTCAATCTTAAAGTTCATCAGTTGTCAACCAAGCCTTCGGTTTTTAAGCCTTTGCAGATATATCACGTCCAAACCAGAGCAATCATTGTTGTAAAGATTGAATGAAATAGTATATGTATGGAAAGTGGCCACTTCCTAATAGGTGTCTACAGTACTTTGTCAATGGCTGTAACATTATCTTAGGTTTATACACACCTCATGTAACAGGGGAATCATAGAGGTAAACAAACCATGGCACAATCTCACTCATATGTAGAATACAAGAGTTGACCTTATAGGGTGGTGATGTTAGCTTGGTTGGTAAAATGAGTTGCAACCCCAGAATCCATGAAAATATAAACAAACAAAAAACAGTCATGGTAGCATACACTTGCAATCTCAGCACTGAGTGTAGAAATAAGGAAGATCCCTGGGGCTTACCAGGCAGCCAGACTCACCTATTTGACTAGTCCCAGTCTAGTAAGAGACAATGTCTCAGAAACAAGATATATGACTCCTAAAGAATGATACCCAAGATTGACCTCTAGCTTCTTAATGTATGTATATTTATGCACATATACACACATACACAATGATCCTATAGAAGTTGAACTAAGAATGGTAATTAACAGAGCTTGGTAAGTACAAGAGGAAGGTGTAATGACAAAGCTTGACTAAGAGTACTAAGTTATAGTGAGATAGGACAAGAGTTCCCATCATTCATGCACAACAACAAGACCATGACACTATAGAAAGCTAGAAGAAAGAATTTGACGACTGATGAGATTGCTTAGTGGGTAGGGGAACTTGGAGCCAAGCTCAGTGACCTGATTTCAATCCCCAGAACCACATGGGAAGGAGAAAATTGACTACTGTGGTTGTCTTCTGACCACCACAAAGTGCACTGCAGCACACACAACCACCACCACCACCACCACCACCACCACCACCCATCAAATAAATATTTAAAATAATTTTGAATGTTTGCCTTATAAAGAATGCTAAATATCTGAGATGATAAATACATTTACCCTGATTTGAACATTGCACAAGATATTGCTGAGTGCCCCATATACAGTTTCATATATCACTTAAAAATAAATATAAATAAGCAAACAAAATAAAACAGAACAAGTTGGGTAAAGACGCATGTTAATTGCATCATCAGAAAGAGGCCCTCCATGCTGTTCCACATCATCCTATTTTGCCTGAGTTCTTTCATAAAGCAGAGGGTCAAAGCCTGGGCAATAAAGCAATACTTAATTAACCACCCATTGGCATACTGCTCACTTGCTGGCTTCTTTGAAGTATCACATGTGTGACCTCTCCAGAGAAGATCCCTGACCACCAAAGACAAAACTTGGTGGCCCATAAAGACAACGTCTACCCCATCATCTGTTGCCAAAGGCAGCTCCCAGCTCACCTGGATCAATGTCTCCAGCTCCTGGGGGCTCACACAGATATGATCTCTCAAGAATTCTGCCTTCTCCAAGGCGATGGTGTTCTTCTGACTGCTCTCAAAGGGCTGCTCCAATGCCCGGAAGACAAGGCCACCTGTGACGAGGTAGACCACCACAACCACAAAAATGGCAACCACTGTTTTCCACTTCATAACTGTTTGCAGGCCTCCCTGGGAGGCGCCTTCCATCCTGGCTACCACCGTGGCTCGGGAGGAAATGGAGAGGCGGGGAACCGGATGGTGCCCGTTAGTGGCACTCTTGGGCTGGCACACGGGTGGAGTTGCTGCAGGCACGGCCACTGAGGAAGCAGGTAGAGAAGAGGAGAGAATTTGTTTATAAATACAAAACACTGAAGTCATCAGAAACAAAGAACAGATGCCTTCCTTCAGCCGCCTTTCCATGTGTAGGGATGAAAAACTGGTTCACCAAGCCTGCAGTTGGGGAGTTTGATCAGTTGTTAAGTACTTGGTTTTTGTTGTTCTTCTTTTTTCTTTTTTTAATGATTTCTTAAAAGTGAGCATTGGGAGTCCTAATTCAAAAGGGAAGGCTATCAGTGGGTTAGGAACACTTATATTTTCCAAAAAAGATCCAAACTGGAAAACTATCTTATATTTATTTATACCATATCTCCTCCCTCGGCTCCCATGTTCAAACATGTACAAATCATCGGATTTGGAAAACAAACCTATTATTCAGACTGAAGAAAAGCAAACAGAAGAGGGGCACACAGCTATTCTAAGAACAGAAGCAGAGAAGAGATGGACATCCAGTGACTTTAAAAAGCCATCTCAGAGACCAGGGAGACGGAGCAGGCAAGTATGAGGACCTGAGTTTGGATCCCCAGCACCCACATAAAAAGCCATGTGGGTGCAGCAGCCCACACCTGTGACCCTAGAGATGGGGGCAGGCGGGTGGAGACAAGCAGATGCCTGGTTTGCGTCAACGAGTATATCCAATCGTTGAGTTTCTGATTCAATGAGAGACTCTGTCTCCAAAAAATTAAGGTAAAAGTAGGAAACACCTGACACTGACCTCTGACCTCCACACTCACACACAGACACACATACCCACATGTAAAGAAATCCACATACAAACACATACTTATACATACAAACACATACTCATACATACAATCCCTCTCCCCGCCCCCCCAAAAAAAACAAAACCACACACAAAAACAGAGAGATGGGAGAGTGACTAATTAAAAGCCCATCTTTTCACAAAATGAAACAAAGAAGCTAATCTCAAACTAAAGAAGAAGGGTCAAAGGTCAGGCACAGTAGAGAGGTTGGGGACTTGCCTAGATAGGTGGCTATAATTGGGGAAGGAAGCAAGAGTGATGGTTTATGTCAATTAGCCCTCTTGCCTGAAAAAATAATAAGAATAAAATAGATCCCGAGTGCATTGCCTAATAGAAAATGCAATGACTTTGGTGTAACCACTGCTGAGCTATTAGCAACGGAATTTTTTTCCTCCGGTTGTCATCCAATAAGAAGCCACTGGAAATGAAATTTCCCCTGGTGCTCAGAACACAGAATTTGTTAAGGTCCCCAGTTCTCTATAAAGGCAATTTCATTACCTTAGGAATAAATACATTAAGTTGGCAGTTTTTCTGCCAGAACAGGGGGTTGGAGATAGTGCCACGCACCACAGAGCTCTGTCTTATGCAGCAATGAGCAGTCACCGCACTGAGATGTGTTCTTGCTTTTATTATCCTGATTCTCATTATGGCCTCTGTTTGGGCTGCACCCCCAGCTGTGATGTAAATAAGGTATTAACATATACATGTGCAAATAATACTGCCCCAGTGGGGCTAAACTGCTCCATCTCTACACTGGGGGTGTCAAGGTGATTCTGTCATGTCACTCTTCCTGGAAAATAGGTCTGAACCTGACCCACCTGGCTAGAGGGGCAGTTACTTAGAAAAATCTATGTCTATAAACATCTGCTCTCCTAGGCCCTAGAAAATCAGTTTTGCTCTTTGAAACCAGGCTGACTACCCACCTTTCACTAGATGTTACTCTGTTCAACAGTTATTCAATATTAAATTCTTCTTGGTCTTAACATGAATATAAAATTCTCCATAGTCTCCAAACTATGAATTAGAATCATCCAGTTAGGCATCATGTTCTTTGACCCTCCTCTAAAGACACTGAATTCAGGTTCCCACTTGGCCTTGTACACAAAGAACACTGCTTTGTGTCCAGGACAGTTTCCTTCAGTAAAGCCTGAACTTCTCATCCATTCTGCCTCTCCATCCAATGGCTACAGCCTCATGCAGGCCATCAGCATGTCTTGTCGCAACCAACCTAGCAGCCTCCTAAATTACTTCCCCATTTCTGCTTCTACCCAAACTGGCCAGTTAATCTCAAGTTAAACCTTACTTCCTGAAGTACTTCTTTCCATCCATCTCAAGGTGGGCAGAAAAAAAAGCCTCCGAAAACACCTACATCTTAATCCCAGTAGCTATAAAAACAGTACCTTACATAGCACAATGTGATTGAAGATCCTGAAGTGAGGAGCTTATCCTAGATTGTAGGTGTCACCCCAAGACTATGAAAAAAATAAAAGCTAACAGTTAACTAGTTTTTGTTTGCATTTGGCCTTAAATGTATTAAATCTATTTACTTTGTATATTACAAAATAAAGTAATCTGGCCTTTAAACTGTTTATGTGATGTTATATGACATACAGTATAAAGGTAAATTATCATGTGCTGTCTAAAGCCTGTTGAGAACATGAAGAACCTGTGGCTACATGGGTCACGGGCCCTAAGGGAGAACCTCCCCTATTATTCTACTAAATAGACATTGTATTAAACTGACTCCTAAAGACTAACTGGTATAGAGCAGTGCGTCTTGCAACCCTATCAGAGAAGCTTCCTTTTCAGTGGCGCCATTGACCCTGGGACCCACAGCTTGTCACAGTGAGAGAATAGGAGAGTACGGAAGGCTCAGCCCTAAATGGGACGACTGTACCACACCCATTCTTCTCAAGCCTCAGGGATCATTATGGACAAAGAAGCACACACACACACAAGAGTGTATGGGCAGCACAGTCAGAACTTGATAGACTTTATTTAAAAAAAAAAAAAGACATGAGGCAGGGAAGAAGTGTTGTAGATCTTGGAGGAATTGGGAGTGACTATGATCAAAATTCATTATGTATGAAATTCTCATGAAACTAATAAAAAGAAGAAGGGAGCAACTCTGGAAGCAAGGAGGCTCCAAAAAGCTCCCTGTCCCGGAGAAGGCTGCTGTCTTAACCCTATACCAAAGAGGAAGGAAAACAGCAAGCATCTATGGGCCTTATCAATACTCTGTCGGTGAGGACAGCACGAAGGTGAACTACGAGGTTGCTATTGTTCATCCTATAGGATAAACATGCCAGCAGCGGGAACAGGAAGTCAGAAGCTCATCCATGGAGAGAACTCAGAGGAAGTTCAACCCAGAGCTCTATCCTTCGAGACTCTAGCTGCCTGCCTCAGCTTCTCCAGTGGTTTCTTGGTCTTTATCGATTTCAGGTGCCTTGGTGATGTCTATCTGCTACTATTTGTTCATTAACTCAGAAGCCTCAAAGGGCACATACTGTTCTACACAGGACTCCCGCTGGGAAACCCAGCTGCTTGCCTCACAGGGGCTTCCCCAGTCAATTTCTACTGAATGTTTGTAGCCTCGCCCCAATTTGGTAATGTTACCTTTTGTTTGCTTTCTGAATCAGACTATTCCAGTCATCCTTACTCTAGGTGTGAGCCACTCACTTAATGGTGTTTTCCCATCTGATTGCTATTTCTCTTTATCTGCTACTCAATATTGATTCTTCTACATTTCCTTGCTGTATACTTACCTATACACTCATTCAAAAACTACTGTAGGTAGATCTTTTATTCCAGTCAGTACAGAACAAATGGTTCTAGAAACCCCAGCACTCCCAATGCTAGGTGGAACTGGGCTGGAGAACAATCTTTTAGGCTTTGGGCCAGTTCTTTGTACTGGTTTGCTAAGGACTGTCCCCAGGAACAGATCTGAATCAAATCTGAAAAGGGCTAAGTTTGCAAAGCACTGGAGCACAAAAAACAGCTTTATCCCCAAAACATCAACTGGGTGACCTTGAAACTGTCACTCGGGTTCTCTGTTTGCTTATCTGTGAAATGTAAATAATAACTTCACTTCTTTTAACCTCATAGGGCTCTCAGGAACGGCAAATGAGCTGCCCTGGTTTGCTGATTGGAGTTTATTTGCAGATGTCAGGAGTCCTGGCAGGGACTTCAGAATGTTACAAAACCTTTTGTGCATTTGACTAAAAATGGAGTTGGCTGCTTTAGAAAATATGACTGTGCATTTCAGCAGCTAGAAATGGATTTGGAGTCTGTTTCTCCTTGAGGTTGAATAAATTTTCAGGGAGTATTTTCATTACTCTGCCTTTTCTCCAAAACTAGAGTTGCTTTCACTCTAGCAGAAAATTGCCTAGTGACCTGAGATGAGTCATAATGGTCTCTGACTTCTTTTACAAAGAAACAAATCTGGATAAGGTGGTTTGTGGTGGTGGTGGTGGAGATGGTGATGGTGGTGATGGTGGTGGTGGTGGTGGTGGTGGTGGTTGTGATAGTGGTGGTAGAGGTGGTGATGGTGGTGGTGGTGATGGTGGTTGTGGTGGTGGTGGTGGTGATGGTGATGTTGGTGCTGGTGGTGGTGGTGGTGGTGGTGGTTGTGATAGTGGTGGTAGAGGTGGTGATGGTGGTGGTGGTGATGGTGGTTGTGGTGGTGGTGGTGGTGATGGTGATGTTGGTGCTGGTGGTGGTGGTGGTGGTGGTGGTGTTTTTGGTGGTGGTTGTGGTGGTGGTAGTGGTGATGGTGGTAGTTGTTGTTGATGGTGGTGGTGGTGTTTTTGGTGGTGGTAATTGGTGGTGGTGGTGATGGTGGTGGGTAGTGATGATGTTTGTGGGTGATGATGGTGTTTTTGGTGATGGTGGTATTTGTGGGTGGTGGTGGTGGGTGATGGTGGTGGTAAGAATCCCAATCAACGCCTGCCGCTCTAATAAACACTGTTGACACCACTGCATTGATCCTCACTCTGGCATTTATCACACTATGTGCATCCAGATCTTCCCAGAACAGATCCCGAAAGTGAGCTAAATGGGCTCATGTTTTTATTGAGGGGAATGCACACATGAGAAGAAATGAGGGAGTGTCAGGCTGGCTAGAGCAGCCATCAAACACTGTGTTAGTCTGTCCTTGAGTACAGAAGAGAGGGGAGAGGGATGGGAATTGGCACTCTGGACCACCCACAGCCTGAGAA